TCTTAATAAGTTTAAGATCAACTTGGTCTATACAGTGAATTCCAAAACAACCAAGGCAAAATAGAGAGACTCTGTCTCAAAAAACAAAACCAATCCCCCAAACAACAACAATAGACAAATAAACAAACAATTCTTTTCTAATTCCACCTTCTTGACTACTTGCAGATTAAACGTACTGCATGGGTTTCTCTTGTCTTTATTTGATTCTACTGTGTCCTTAGAGAAGTTTTCACAAGCAGCAGCTTGGATGTGTATGTCATGTAGCTTGCCAAGAGACCTTTTAATTTGAATGTCTCCTATGTGCAAAGAAACAAAAATATATAAATCCTCCAATTTCTTTAACATACATTTTCTTATTCTCTCTTCTTTTTTCCTCCCATTCTTGCTGATAAAATTCCTTTCCTGAATTTTTAGTAAAAATTTCAGTTAGACCCTGGATCTCTTTCTTTAGCAGCACTTCATTGATTTCTTATGACACTGAGAATATTAAAAATCAATAACATGAATTGTAAAATGTCCTACATGAACTTATGAACTACACTGTAAATAATGAATGCCTTTATATTATGTTTATGGATATAAACTCAGTGTAGTTGTAGCAATCCTAAATTCTTTCATGAGATCTTGGTACAACTGTTACCTATGTTATACAAAATTGTGTACTGGTTCTATTGAGTGATATTTGGCAAGTTATGCTACTCTCATGTATACTGTGTCTCAGGAAAAAGAAAAAATCTGCTTCTAGATGGTTATGGAATCTAAAGAAGAATATTATTCATTTTTTTCAGTGTTATTCTCTGTTTATGTCTCTCACAATTTATTATCCGCAGTGAATTGGGAAATTCTTATAGTCTGGTTGAGATAACATGGGAACATTTATGTCTAAAAGTGTAATGATACCTGAGTCAGATTTTAAATGCAATCATCAACTGTATTCTTGTGATTCTACATGTTCCAATCAATATTCTGTAAGAGCTGCAATTTATGAACATTGTAAAGCTTGTGAGCTTTCTGCACTTCCTTTGGCTTTCTCTCTCCTGGCTTTGTATGCTCTGGAAGGGATCATGTTTGTGATTGGGAGGGTGTGTATAACAGTCTAGAGTTCTGAGCCTATGTCTTGTTTCCAAAAGGGTTCCTTTTCTTCTTACCAAACCTTTTCTATGCCAGTGGTTGATGAAATTGACCAAGCACTAAAATCACTTTTAATTATGTTAAAACATGCTTTGCTGCTATCTCACCTCCCCTAGGGACTGATACCATAATTCTGGAGCGGGGCCCCACAATTCAAAATATTAGGACGTTCACAGTGATATTGATTCTTCTGGTTTGAGGTACATAATTACAGCAACACTCACTTCTGTTGTTATAATAATAATAATAATAATACAAAAAACAACAAATAAAACCCTGCCCAGCCATGTAAACAAGTCAACATTTTGTTTTAATTAAGGTAAACTGTTTCATTCTGTCTTTTTTGTCTTTATGTGGTTTTCTTGGATATGTTTTCCTACCTACTATGATAAATGCACAGAGAGATTTTAGCTAGAGACTACACAGTGCTTAATGCCTTCAATGGAGAAACAGTGTTGGTAAGAAAAATGGGGGCAGAGGCATACTTCCTGAGTATTATCAGGGTACATTATGGTTAGTTCATCCCACTTCCAGCAAACTCCACTTGGGGTCCATTTCTACAATAAGAACTCAGAGGCCAGGCATTGGTGGTGCACGTCTTTAATCCCAGCACTCGGGAGGTAGAGGCAGGCGGATCTCTATGAGTTCGAGGCCAGCCTGATCTACAGAGCGAGTTCCAGGACAGCCTCCAAAGCCACAGAGAAACTCTGTCTTGAAAAACCAAAAAAAAAAAAAAAAAAGAACTCAGAACATTCTGATTAGGCTTCTTCTTCCATTGGCCAGATGGTTCTTCAGCTCAGACTTTGTACTCCATAAATTGTAAAGAAATAATCTTGTCTTCTCATGATTGTATCTTTTATTTGAAAAAATAATTTTCACTGAATGAATCCAAAATGCTCTTAACAGTAGATTTTGAAGTCTGGGATGTGTGGGTGGTTGATTTCAATGAACAATATAAATCATTCTGTCCTATCAAGAAAGAAACAATCCTAATAATTTTAATAGTACTGGGTATAAAGGAAATATGAGTAATATTTGGAACTTTGAAAAGTGTTTTGAAGTGTTACATTTGAAGAGATTACTGATTTCCTTTTCTCAAATGTCAAGGAAGTTACTGAGGGCTATATATATAGATTAGTTTAGACTATTTTAACGTTATTGTTCTATGATGCTTTTTGATGATTTCTCTCTGATAGATGAAATACAGCGGGTTATACTTAGAACTGATGTCCCTATCTGTCTGCCACTACTCCACTGATAATTCAGAGTCTTTAGAGAGAATAGCTCATTGCAATGGATGATTACATGCCTCAATTGAATGGTAGCTCATTGCCAGTTATCGTTACAATGCCACGTTGATTTCTTCTTTCCATTATGAAAATTAAAGCCACATTAGTTTAAAATGAGCTTCCATATATATTTCAGATATGACTGGTTCTGAATCTCAGCTATTTTAAATTATATCTTCTTCAGTAATCTGATTGTTCTCACTGGTAATCTGATAGAAATATAGATTTTTTTTTGGGTTTTGAGACAGGTTTTCTCTGTATTGCTTTGGAGGCTGTCCTCTAACTCTCTCTGAAGACCAGGCTGGCTTCAATATCACAGAGATCCACCTGCTTCTGCCTCCCGAAGGCTGGGATTAAAGGCGTGTGCCACCAACGCCCAGCTTGAAATATAGATTCTTAACCATGCTGAGATATTCCTGGATGCACAGACAATATCTTAATTACTTTTTGATTACTGTGATAATATACATGATGAAGGAAACTTATGGAAGAACAAGGTTACTGGGTGGCTTACAGTTTCAGAGGGTTAGAATCCATACCCATCATGCTAGGGTTAATGGTGACAGTCTAGCAGGCATTGTGTTAGAGCAGCAGGTAACCGGGAATGCCATGAGCTTTTGAAACCTCAAAGCCTGCCCCACTGTGACAGCCCTCATTCAACCAGCCATATCTCCTCATTCTGCTCAAACAGTTCTGCTAATTAAGGACCAAAGTATTTAAATATATGAACGTATAGAGGCGTTCTCATTACACTCCAGTGAAAATTTAAAGACTATGAAATGTAAATATACACATGGTTTCAATATAGGGAGTATCTCGGTAGCACCTATTCTGCAGTGGTACAATGCTTGCCTAGCATGTATGAAGCCTAGTATTTTCTCTACAGTGTTGCAACATTTTCATGTATATATGTAGTTTGTAACGATTTTAATGGCTATTTCATAAGCATATGTGTATATATTTTGTTTTCTGAAATTCTTGGGCAATATAAGATTGCCCATTCTTTTTGGTTACATATGATACTAAACTAAAATTGGTAAATATTTATTGTTTACATATATGTCATATTGTATGTAAGCTACTCTAATGGGGCAATGGATGACAGAGAAATGACTAAGCTAATACACTGTCTTTAGGAAATTTATAATTCAAATATATAAATTCTATAAGATATGTGATAACAACCATGTCATACATCAAGAGATAAGATTATATGTAGGTGTTTTAAAGAAGAACCCATATTTGGTTGAAGATTTCCAGGGGCTGGAGAAATAGTTGGTGGTTTAAAATGTAGATTTGAGACTTGGAGTATTTCACATATAACATTGTGGTTTCCTTCCTGGAAGACAGTATAAACAAGCTAACAAAGAAGTTCAGAGAGAACTCCAGTAACGACCATTTGTCTGGTTATTTGACCAATGTGGTATGATGAAACTGATGTAACTGTCAGGCTGAGGGATTATTGACGTAATCCAAGTGCACTTTTCAACTGAGGAATGTGACTAAATGTTATCAGTCAGATATTTTAAATGTAAAATGAAGAAAAGCAAAAATCAGAACAGCAACAAGAACCAAAAGGAAGCCACGCAGAACCCCACTCAGTTTCTTCAGCCATATGATAAACATAACTAGGAGTAAATTAGGTTTTAAAGTAAACAATGAAAAGGACAGGGGTATTTGGAGGAAGCATTGCAGAAGAAGAAGAATTCATGATTGGATAAACAAAGGTCTAGTATTGTAACACAACTGGAATTTAATGTGTTATTTTCCCAGCCCCGTTTGTCCATTTCTTTCCTACAGATGTTGTGGAACATTCAAAACATAGTAGTATTTAGCATTTCTAGATTCAGTTTTCTGATAATCTTTGTACTTGTATAATCCTATTTATCTTCAGTTTTCTTTTCAGGTAGACTGTTTCAAATATCTTTCCCTGGGTACATATTATATAAAAGCATCCTGGCATTGTACTTGTTTACCTAAGTTTATTTTACTTCATTGAAATAAAGCACTGATGTTTATATAATTGGTTACTTATTTATTATCTCTGTTTGTAGGTAATAGACTCCATGGAGGATAAGGGCTTAGTTATGTTGCTCGTTATATCTGTATAACATACATACTTGGTACCTTCTAAATGCTCAACAGCTGTTTGTGAAATGAGCAGGATAAATGAAAAGGTTAAAGACTATGGCAGGTCAAACAATTAAGCCAGTATTACCAGTTTGAGGGAATCAAAGGGCAATGGTGTTACTAAGAGAATACTGAAGAGTGGAGGAAGAGTTGATTTGAGGGACTGAAAACAACTGAAGATAGATTTACCTTATAAATTCTGGCTTGAGTATGTGAAGCTGTTGAACTATCCTATATTGTTCAATATAGGGTAAGGAAACCATGAAGAGAGGTCTGAGATTTAGATGATGATAATTGGGTTATTCTCAGCATCAAGCCTTTATTCAGAGGGTAAATGAAATGCAGATAATAAAGTATGGCAGGATTATCACATGTGCAAACAAAATTTTAATTTTAATATCTAATGTGTTAAACATATGAATTTATTTATATATTCTTTTCCATCCTTAGCTGGGTTAACAACTTTGGCCATGAAGGACTTGGACTTTTACTGGATGTGCTGGAAAAGATTCTGGACAAAAAACTGTAAGAATAAACTTTTTAAAACTTTCGCTCATGGGAAAAATTTAAGCACAATGTAATGTTTTTTTTCTTACTGACTTAGGCAAGAAAATATTGACAAGAAGAATCAATACAAACTCATTCAGTGCCTGAAAGCGTTTATGAATAATAAGGTAAATGGTGTTTACTTATCCCTCTGTTTCCAAAGGAGAGAGCTTGCTCGACAATATGAAAGTAAGAAAGACATAAAATAGTGGGGCTATTCAAGTTTTAATAATATGTTTATGATGCAGATCATCATGAGTTTTCTATAAGTGGTTTTAAAGTATATTTTTCTTCACACAATATTTAATGCCATATTTTGCAATTATGCCAACAATATTAGTTTAGCTCTCAAATTTGATGACACCTTTTTCCTTTTGAGATAATTTAATTATGCATGCATGTTGCTAGATGAGGTGATGTGCAGCACATGCCTGCAGGGGTCCATACAGGCCAGAGGGAATCAGATCCCCTAGTATTCCAGCTCCAGGCTTGAGCTGCCTGATGTGGGTGCTGAGAATCGAACCTGGATTCTCTGTACGAGGATTAGGTACTCTTAAATACTGAAGAATCTCTTAAACCCTAGTAGTATGGAAATCTACATATCATAAATTGAATATCATTTCCATACCGAGAAAGAAGTTGTATTTTATTGAAAAGGAAAATTCAAGTGTAGGCATAAGGTTCAAATAGTTTGATAAGAGTGTCATTTTAGTTACAGTTATTTAACATGTATAAAAGAAATCTGTGGAAGGTAGCTTGCATTTTTATATACATGGAATACTGTTAGTATTGTACAGTGTTGCGGAGTCCTACAGATAAAGTAACTTTGACTAATTAATTTGCTTAATCGCATTAATTACATTTAGTTGATATTTTAGTAATTGCAAAATACTTAATAGTAAAAAGTAATTATAGCAATAACCAGGAACTTGCTAAATGTGAATTATAGCTATTAATAATCAATGCAGTAATACTGTATATTTAGGTAATGTACAAACACTTTCTTTGGTATATGCAATTATGCAACCATTTCTGTATCATATGCCCATACTAATCATCAAATAGTTTTATTGGTACATGCAGTACATGGTTGCTAATGAACTCTTTTGTCACATATACTTTTACTGCTATTTCTATAAGTTTCTTATCTTTTTACACTTAATAATGGATATGTATAATGCACCAGTACATGCTTGTGAAAGCCAGAGTACAAATTGTGGGAGTCACCTTTCTCCTACTACAATGTGGGTCCCAGAGATGACATTTTATCAAGTACCTTTATCACATGAGCTATCTCGCTCACACATCTGTAAGTTTCTTATAGAAGCAGTCCTATCAGTACTGGTCGAGAATTTCTCTTCTGTCCTTTTGGCCTTTAGATACAACATGTTATGGGATCTAATGCCTAACAACAATGCATTTAATTGAACATGCCTTTCGCCATAGCTCAAGAAGGATTTCTTTCTGCAACTGAAAAAAGTTGTAACATTATGGAAAGAGAAGACAGCACTGGAGACCAGAGATGCAAATCACATTTCCAGTCCTAAGCAAACAGGGCCTTTGAAAAATAAGTTAGCCTCTGGCTAGTCAGTCTCCTCCTCTGTAAATTCAGCTCTGAGAGTTTTTGTTCTACATTTTTATTGATTATTGTTGTCAACTACCATAGTTTTGTAGTGCAACAACTAATTGTAATTAGAATACTGACTACTAAAGAATGTTATATTAGTTCGTAGGATTTCCTATACAGCCCTATCCCATAGGAGATACTCAGGTATGGCAAGATTCACTTTCTTTTTCTTACTTTTTTTGGCAGTTTTGAAGAATATGATGATTTCATCTAAATTATTCTAATCTAAATGGGAGTTTTTGTGCAGCTATATTTATGAATTGGATATATATCTTTGCCAGATGAATAAACGAGTCCTTTAAATTATAGGCATGTGAAACAATGCATAAAACAGACATTCTGAATAGAAAGCACACAGTGATATATTCACTTTAAGTTGGAATACATTTTCCAAATTGAGGAAGGTAAATTTCATCTGAAATGACATAAATGATCCTTGAAGCTGAGGTTACTTATGTCAGAAACTCATAAAATTTTGCATGTTCCCTTGTTTATTAAAGCCCACAGTAAAGTCGTATTTAAGAAGTTTAGCTTGATGGGAGGGAGAGGGACCTGGGATTGATATGTAAAATAAGATTGTTTCTAAGTTACATAAGATTTATAAAAAAAGAAGTTTGTCCTGGTCCCCTTTTCTCTTAGAATTTAAATTAAGAAACTTCATGCTGTTCATATTTTTGGTACTTTGCCAAATGTTATCTTGTAATTTTTCCCAATGAAATTTAATGTTGCCATGGAACTAACTTGAAATGAAGCAAACTTTTAATGAGAAAACAGAAATATACTTTGTGTGAAAAAGGTGAAAATTAATTAATTTTAACAATAAATTTTTATTTGAAAATATACCTCTTGGCATTTGTATGGCATGTGCATATACACTTGGGTTCATGCCTAGAAATTAAATGAGACTGATATTTTCATTGCCCGTCTTCTGACTGGCATATGTCTTAGTCTATGATGTGTGTTGCTAGCTTAGAAATATGATATAAAAGGGCAAGGAAATAGGGGAAAATCCATATCATATTTTTAGTACTTCAGCTAGTATATAGTATACTTGAAGCACTTCAGCTTTTTTCCCTCCTGTGTTTACTTCAAATTTTAATGCAAATGTATTGGAAAACTTAACCACAAATTCCAGACATTCCCAACAATATCAAGACGTTAAAAATAGCTTTAGAAAATATAGGCAGTGTGTGTTTTATATGTTCTTGTTTCTTACAGAAATTCCAGTTGTTCCCACATTCCTCCTAAATATTTTCAAAAATTTTATTGAGGAATAATGAAATCATGTTTTTCATGACTCAAAATTTCTAAGATGTAGTCATTTCAAATAAAATTTAAAAATGAATAATTGCATTTGAGGAGAATTTACATAATTAGATACCTAACGGGACAGTGAAGGTATTTTTTTAAAATAATTTCTTTACTTTTGGTTTCTTTGAATGAAAAATATGTTCCATAGACATTTCCATTTTGTTTGATTGTTTTTAGTTTGGACTGCAAAGGATTCTAGGAGATGAGAGGAGTGTTTTATTGTTGGCAAGAGCAGTTGACCCCAAACAGCCCAATATGATGACTGAAATAGTAAAAATACTGTCTGCTATTTGCATTGTTGGGGAAGAGAACATGTAAGTATCGATATGTTCTGTTTATTTTATTGAAAATGACATGGCACAAATTAGCGGTTTTTCTTTTTGATAACTTACAGAAAAATAGTATTTTGGTTGATATCCTTATTTTTCTGTATCTTACCTTTTTGGATATCATATAATCTAAATTTGTTAAATAATTTAAAATGAATAAATGGAATTTTGTCTCACTGAAAATAACATTAGTTAATTGGAAATTTCTTAAGTTTAAAACGTTGTTTTGGTAACACAGAGGATACCACACACACACACACACACACACACACACACACACACAAACACGCGTGTACACATACACACACACACAGGAACGCAAGCACTCACTCACTCACTCAAACTCAATTACTCACTCACTCACTCACTCACGTGCATGAGCACATGTATGTTCCAGGCATCTTTAATTGAAACAAGTATATCCTTTGTACTATTGTAATTTATATTTTAATTTATCTTGTGTGGTGACTTAACATGAAATGAACTTATCGAATCAAAAGAAAGCATAGTGTAAGTTTGCAAGTAAATGTTTGGAACATAAACAAAAGCAGCTCATAAATAAAACATTAGCATGTGAAGTACTATGTATGTTAATTAGCGCCAGTTAGCTGTTCCACAGCACCAATATTTTAAAAACATTGTGTGTTGCCGGGCGGTGGTGGCACATACCTTTAATCCCAGCACTCGGGAGGCAGAGGCAGGCGGATCTCTGTGAATTCAAGGCCAGGCTGGACCGACAGCCTCCAAAACAATACAGAGAAACCCTGTCTCGTAAAAACCAAAAAAATAAAAAATAAAAAACACATTGTGTTATATTTGGAAGTTTTATCTATTAAAAGTATTGTGATGTGAAAGTTTCAATGGTCTATATAAACATCAAACACTAAGAATAAAATATAGAATGAGCTATGTTTATCATATGAAATATTCCTCATTTCTGTTTTCTCTCATTTTTGTCTATAGTCTAGACAAACTTTTGGGGGCTATCACTGCTGCAGCTGAGAGAAATAACAGAGAACGATTTTCACCAATTGTGGAAGGATTGCAAAGCCATGAAGCCTTGCATCTCCAGGTGAGGTCATTTTGTCATAAATCACTTGAAGAGTGTCTGTATTATACTGATTCATTTTCAGCTGGCATTTATAGAATGGAATGCAAAAGTACAATTATTTGTGTTATTCATAGTTTTGTTCATTTGAAAACCCTTAAAAATTATGAAAATTGCTTCTTCACTGTCACTAATATGGCATGCATTATAATAATTATTGGGAAATTGAAACCTGAGTAGTAATACAGGTCAAAGGACAAACAGTTTAGTCGGTACTATTTGACCAATTTAATGAAGCTATAGGCATTTGTAGAAATGTAAGAGAATAGTCAGGTATGGTGTCATAGCATGGTACTCTTTATCAATTAGATATCTGAGTCAGGGTTAGGGTTACAAGGTCCTGATTGGCCTGGGTTTCAATTAACAAAAAAAAAACAATTAAAAAAAGAGAATTCAGTATATTTCTTTTGTGCCTTCCAGACAGTCAGAAATCTGACTCACCAATGCAAAAGGGGTTGAATTGTATCCCCTGTGTCAAGACCCTGTGAAAACTCTGTAGACCAGTCTAAACATGCTTAGTTCTAAAAGTGACAAAATCCTTCGTTTCTAGTGATTTCAGGAAATGTCTTACTTTATTAAAGGATATATTAGTCTTAAGGGATGAGAAGTCATTTTTATTCCCTGTATTTAGAGACAAGAGCTGCTGGATGGCACATTTATTTGCGAATATAATTTGGTTTAATTCTTGTAACAAATCAACTTCCTAAGTATTATCCATATATCTATCAGGTGGATAGGCAGAATAAGATTCCGTCACTTGTATAAGTGGAAATGGTGTGAAAGAGCCAGAATTTGATATCAACGTGCTCTTTGTTTTAGATAGTGTACATACCATTTGATGCTCCATGAAATATCTTCTAAAAAGTTATATCATCACTTAAAGAGATATTTCTACTATGTTTATTTTTTAAAGTTATTTTTAGTGAGTATACATATGAAAATTTTTTACTTGATGTGAAACAAACATAATTGATTTTTCTTTTTTATTGTTGTATGAAGTATTGCTATCTTTTCTGTAACAGTTGGAAACAGTGTTCAACACGCGAATTGGCCTCTCTAAAGAAAATCTGTATTATTGTGAAACTGTACATAATGTTTCTTCAGAAATGTAAAGATCTTTGAAAAGTGTTGTATCCAACTATGATGAGTACATTGATCAATTTTATTGTAATCATTTTTGCATTGGTGCTTTTAAAATTGATAACTTCCTCTTAGTCGTTTCCTATCTATTACACAGTTTTTCACATTATTAGTTTTAGTCTCAGTAAAATTTCATACTTTCTAGGGAAAGCCTGAACTGTGCATTTTCAGATGTCTTCTCCAATGTTTTGTCCTTGTTGCTGTGTTGGCTGTGCTTGCTTGACTAGATGGCTTTCGCTGCCAGACATGCATATAAGCCTGTATGTTAATTTCAAAGTTTAACAGGACTAAAGCATTTTATTTAGATTCAAAGTTTTCATTGCATTTGGAACAGTTTGCCATATGTGGGACAAGTATATTTGCATAGTTAAAAATATTTAAATGAAAATTCAGCCACGATTCTGTGTTATATATTATCTTAAGTTTACTGATCAGGGAACTGAGTTGCACACAGGCTAAATGATCAGTTCTTTAAGAATCACAAAGCTGTTAAGGTTTAGAATGATGGTTTGAACTTAAAATTTTTTTGATATATACATCCAGAATTATATTGTGTGTCCACTATAGCAGTACGGCCCCATAAAGAAGTGACGTTGTCAATGTAGAGTAGTTTGCCCCAACCAGTGAAACACTACTGACATTCTGTGGCCTTCGTGGTGCTGCACAGAATCGAATGGTTAAGTAGCAAGTGTTTAGCAAGTACCATATGGAGAGATTGTAGACATCTTGCTAAATATTCAAGAAATTTTTGAATACTGATTATGGATGCAAACATATGCAAACTACAATTTGAAATTTCCTATTTTAATGAGCTACAAAGTTTAGTAATTTATTACATACATAGCCTAGTACTCTCCCAAGAATTGTGAAGTAGGTTTATTAGGCATGTTTAATGTGAATGAGAAAATATCCTGTAAAAGTTATAAAATATGTTCAGAATACTGAAATGAAAAACAAAAGCTAAACTCCGTTGTTTAAAGAAATGTAATTTGTGTTGTATTTTAACAGAATTACTTTTCTATTTTGGTAGTGTCCTGAGATCTCTTATTAGAATGTCATGAAGTAATTCTGTTAAAATACTGAACTAATTATATTTTAAACTAACAATTTCTTACAGATGTTTTCTAGCTCTGCTATGATAGAATTTCATTACTTTCAATAGTTTCAGGAACAGATAAGGGCTAAATCACATCAACATATGTAGTCTCTTCATTCCCTTACGTTCAGCTTAGTTGCACTATTCAGTCTCCCATACTGTATCACCTGCAGTTTTACACTGGCTAGCCTCTCATCTGCCTTTTATTTTGTAGCACTTGTCTCTAAAAGAAGAATCTATACTTATTTCCTCTATTTTCTAAATTACCTTTCACAGCTTAGTTTTGTCACAGTCCTAAAATGGTCGTATAATTTCAAAACCAATGATTTCTTCCCAATGGTGGCTTTGTCACCACTGATCAACATGTCCTCCTTGACAATTTCACTTCCCTTGCTATTCTGGGCACCACTCTTTCTGGGTGGTCTCTGAATATCCATTTATTCTGTTTTTAATGCATTTTTGCTTTTCTTCTCAGGAACATTTCCCCTATTTTTATCACTTGTTTTTAATAATTGCCATTTTACATGCATCTACTTAAATGCTGATATGTGTGTATACACCAACATGTGTATCAGCTCATAAATATTCATGTATATTTTCTCCATGCATATTTTCCTTTTGCTTCCAAAGCTGAATATATACCTGTGTTCTAGCAAATCTCCTGATACATGGGAAGGTCATGTTTCTGTACCTATTCAAATTCTATCTTTGAGTATCTAGCAAGATTTAATATCAAACTCCCATAAGTAACAAATTAAAAATATCACATTTGAGTGCTCTGCCACATAACATTACAATTTACATATGTCCTCTCATCTTGATCACACAGCAAACCTGAGAATTATAGAAGTATCTCATGAGGTGATACTTGAAGTTGACCTTGAAAGATAAGAATTTTGCTGATGTTTTCTAATAAAGAAGCAGTATTAAATTAGAATTGGGGCAAGAAGGGCTTATAGTGTGTGAAAATGGAAGCCCCCATAGTCTGCCTGTTATTTTAGAAATTAAAACAGAAGACTATACAGACATCCACTTGAATTTTTTTTCTATGCAGCAAGACAGAAAAATTCAAAGTAAACTGACCATTAGTTATCTTTTATGGGTAGAGAGGGTAACATTAACATCCAATAAATGAATATTAAAATTGCCCATTTTCCTAGGCTACAATTAGACAGAAAGCATCCATGTGTTTGTAGGATTTCAGAAATTGTGGAGACAAATTTGATAGCATGATTATTACACATTAAACTGTTTTCTAGTGTATCAGAAAAATGGAGAAGTTCTTCTGGTATAATAATTGAATATGGTATACAAAAGCAGTTCATGCAATGTATTGTTCATAATGTGTGATAGCTTCACTAAGGTATACCACATATACTTAGTATAGTTATCCTCTTGGCATATAAATTAGAACCAATAATGAAATGAAGATAATAATCATTGGCCCTTCATTGAAATTATCAAGTCTATTAAACCAGTTTTGTGACAAGAAAGACCTGTTGGCCTTTAATCAGAACCTAACTCTGTTTTCTTGCATTATCATATTGAGACTGAGCATCTGATTTCTGTTCATGGCAGACTAAGGGCACAAGTTGGAAGTTTGGGAGAGGGTTTTTCCTAGACCCATGTTTTAAGATCCCGAAGATGTGACCAAAAACAGCTTGACAGGAAGGGAGAGCTAGGTCGAAGTTTAGTAAACTACTGAAATTAAGGTAACTGCCAATGAGCTGAGTCCCAAGCCTATACTACTTCTGTGTGCATGTATATGTGTGTATATCTACATGTATCTATCTATCTATCTATCTATCTATCTATCTATCTATCTATCTATCTATCTATCTATATAGTAGTGCACCATTGTGTAGACAAATTTGGACAGTGGTGTTGCTTTTTCATTGGAACATGAAAAATTCTGACTTCAAGTATACCTTCACTTTTCAATCTGTTTCAAAGATGAGTAATTGTGTTTATTGTTACAATGGTAAGTAAGAGTGACTCTCAGTGTTTGAAAAGGAACCGACTACTTTAAAAGATATCACATTATCTTTCTAGCACTGTTTGAAATCATTGATCAGAACTTTATAATGCCCTCTCCTTTACTTCCATGATACTAATCTCTCCTTTTTTCTTTTGTTTCTGTTTTGCTTAAAGATTCTGTGTGTATGTACAGACCTTATTTCTGCTAAGTCCAAGAGCTCATTTTATATTTTTTCAAATTTTCTTTTAAAATAAGGATAAAACCAATTGATTGGGTTCACTATAAAATTTTCATTCATACTTTATTTTTTCTGTGCTTTTCTGCTCATCTATGCTTTCTCTATGCTCTGTTCTATGCTGATCTTCTTCTTCCTCCAGTATCTCCCATTTCATTTTCATGTCATAGAGATTCACCTACCTCTCTGAAAAGATAACTTTTTCCAAGCCTCCCAAGGATCCCTTTCCGATTTTAGGATCTATTTCCTCTTATGCACTTGTGGAAACTAAAACCAAAGGTTTGTGCATGTGAGAGAAAGTTGTATCTTGGGACGTTTGGGTCTTCATTTTTCTCATTTTGATGATTTGCCCACGGTCTTATCCATCTTTCTGGGTTCAGCAAGATATATGTTTGTCTTAGCTCTTTGCATCCCATTCCACTTTCAAACATACTATGTTCAAGTTAGGTATTGCCTTTAGCTATAGTCATCTTGAAGTTATGCATCCTTAACCTCTCTAATTCCTTCACTCACCACGACCTACCATTTTCTTGTATTCCTTCCTGATCACTATGTAACAATTAACATACGCCAATAATTTAATTGTTGGCTTCAAATCCACCTTTACTATATATCTTGCATTGCTTCAGTCACTACATAGTGGATCCCACTATGCTAATTTTGTACTTCTTCAAGGCACAGTATCTCTCTAATCATTACGCTGCTGCCAGTTTTCTTTTTCAATTTCAGGGATTTCTCTTTATTTTAAACTTTGTGCTGACTTCTTTTTATTAAATCGTCTACCCTTCATTCTAACCCTTTAAATCCTCTTCTGCAAAGTCACTGTTCTGACATGCCATTTTGGCACATCACTGCTTACAATCCTTCAAAGGCTTTTTATGACCTCTAGGATTAAAATCTAGTCTTTGTGTCCCTCCTTCCCAAATGAATAAATAAAAGCACTTCATCATCTGCTCACTGCTTTCTCTCTAGTTGTGTCTTTCACTAGTCTTCTGCATCTACTTTTTGAAGTAGTCTTACTACGCTGTGCTTTCTGAACCTTTTTTGTGCAATTTCCTCCCTCTACCTCTAATCCTTTGTACATAAATAATTTCTTTTGTCTAGAAATCCTTCTCCATTTCTTGACTTAATTAACTTGTACTGTGCATTTGTACAGTTCTTAGGAAGTACTTATTTTGACTTAAACCATCTTTTCCAATAACTCCTGCTGTGGCTAGGATAAAGAAAGACCTTGTTGATGTCAACAAAGCACTTAATAAGGTCAAATGTGTGACAGTGTCAATAAAATTTTAAAAGAACAATTTGTCGCAGCTAATGGCAATATGGATAATCTGTCTGAGAATGCCCTAGAGTTGGCAATTAGTATACTCCATAACTCTAAGAATTGTGATCAAACAGGCAGAATAATGTTTGCAGTTTCTGAAACTTGTTAGTTAAAATAAATGAAAGCTTTTCTTATTTTCATAGATATTTTGTGAAGATGCTCATATGTATTTCATTTTTATTAATGTATTTTATATGCACTTGCATAAGAGCAGGTATACATATGCAGTATATGTGATATTTATATGAATAAAATACAGATAATATGAAAATTTCCTGTGTCAAAAACAATTTAATAAGAACAGGCACTACTTGTCCTTACTGGTTTAACATATGAATTATGGCCCTGCCACTGCATGTTTTATTCTATGAGCAAAATTTATTGTCTTCCTGTGATTTGTTAAACACTTTCTTTCTCACTGACTCCATATTAGAAACATAAATAAACATGGGAAACCATTTTGAAAGCTAAAGCCATTAAAAAAATTCAACGAGAATGAAGAGTCTCGTTATTTGAATTTCTGTTGTTCAGTTCAAGTACAGTTTTATTCTTTGGGCATCAGGTGAAGATAAATTGTATTTAGCAATGCTAGACTGGCACATTCTAATGTGTAGAAAGACTCCAGTATTACACTAAGAGGTGCTAGTTTCCTCTTTTTGGCTTAGGAGCTTTTTGAACTCAGGGAGATCACCTCATGTTTATAACCCACATATGAAACAATTTTAGGTTGTTTACTTCTTATCTATGGAGGGGATTATTTTAAAAGCAGATTGATTTATCTCTGCAAGAGGACAATAGAGTTCAGTCACATTTTTAAAGATTTATAGCCCTGGGTGCTGAGCATCAACGATTTGAAAGCTTTGTTATTTCAGAATGAGGTTTGTAATTATTTCAGTCCTGGCTCTAACGGGCCAGAACCCCATCTTCCTTAATGTTTACCATGCAGTGCTGTTCTGTCAAATTTCCTGCAATATTCTTTATCCATACTGTCCAATGAGGGACCTGTAAATCACATGTATTTGTCATGCCATTCGACTATAGCTAGTGAAATCAAGTTCTTGGTTTAGTTCCTATTGAAGTTAATCCGTGATTAATAGAGCCTGTTTTGAACAGTAGTGTTTTGTAATATGCATGTATGTGAACCTCTACACGTGTACTTTTGTTTGAATGTGCATTTGCACATAATGTGGAATGCCTTGGGAAGTAGCAAAAGGGAAAGAGAAGGCATTAATTTGGATTATGGGGTGTCCTCTATATGATAATTTTGGAGTATATATGGAATGAGATTTACTCCAAACCAAGCATCAGTTTGTCCTTTCCTATTTTTATTCGCATTTCAGTATATATTTGGTAACTTGTTGTTCTAGATAACATAGTGTGACTTCATTTTCATGCTTTTTAAATTATGGATAGCTGTGATGTAGATGTTCCTAATTCACCCAACATGACAAAATAGATAAATTTTGTCACCTTATACATACTTAAAATATTTTCTTGCATGCGTCTTTGTATGGAGTCTCTAAGATGTCTGAAATATTTTGAAATTGTTTTCCATTTGTAGCAAAATAGTATAACTTAGAAGTATTATTTCCTTTTGCTATTTGACCTTGCATAAATTATTTATCTTCTGCAAGCTTCAACTTTTCCATGTGTGAAAGAAATATAGCAGTAATATACATCTTTAGGGTACTTACTTAGGGTGTAAATTGCACTAAGATGCGAATACAATGTCTAATAATTTATAAAAATTAAACAATAGAGATGATAAGAGTGTAGATTTTTGTATTTAGTTGTTTGTATTTTGTATATTGGAATCTCACCGTGGTGTTTCATAATAATGTGTTGTGCTTCTTGAAATAATTATTTAAATTTCAATTTAAGATATTTTGATACTTTTAGTTTTTAATTCCTGTTATTATTCGCTGAAAGGCATAACCATAGCGTAGATAAAGACAAAAAACAGTTTTTTTCTTACATTACTAGTAAGTATGTCGTTAAATATAATTCCCTAGGAATTTTAGTTTGCCGTTGGCATGTTATTAATGACATATCTTGTAGAATTTGGTGAGCTATAAATGACATTTCATTGCCTTTCTTTTTGGGCTACTGTCTTTAAATTATCTCCTACTTACTTTATATGGTAGACTCTGTGTTCTCCTTTTTAAAATATTCAGCTGTTTGCATATGTTATCTATAATGTACTTCATAGTAATGATGTCTTTATAGTAATATATAATATCATGTTGATGTTGATGTAGTCAGTAATTTTAAGTTTTACTATTTTATGTCGTTAATACCATACTTCTATTTCTATAAAGATATTGTAAAAAGATATGTTAACCTGTTTTTTATGAGAATACAGTCTTTATTTGTAAAGTATTAATAGTATACATTATCAAGCTAGAATTTCTTCTGGCAAAAAGAATCCTAGCAGATGTCAACTTTTCTGCCTATTAGTTTTCAATTGGGCATGTACTTTGATTTGTTCTGTCATACCATAATTGTTACTTAACAACACTCATTCAAGAAAATAATATAGCACTGTACACAAAATATAAACACATATACTAGCCTATTGAGACTCTATAATGATTTATTCAGGTTCTTATTGTATAAAGAGGGGCCTGTACTAAATTAGAATTAAAATTCTTAACAGCACTTCTAGTATTACTTTTAAGGTGATGCAAAGTTTGTGATACACATTTAATTGTCTAAATGTTCATTCTATGAATACTCAGTTACTTTTTTTCTATCTGGTAACTTTGTTAACAAGCTCAGTTTTCTATTTGAAACAAGACAACCATCATTTTTTGGTTTATTACATTTGGCCAATAAGCTGAGTTTACAACATTTTGATGCTAAAGTAAAGCAATATACTTTAAATGTTTTCTCATTGTTTTGAAAAATGATATATAATGCAAAGTGTGTTTAAGTCAACATACTTATGTGATATATTTATCAAACTGTGGTTTCAACATTTTTAGTTTATTTATCTTTCTATATATGCTTATCATTTTTGTAAAATTTGGTATTTTCCTTGAGTTTCCTTGTAGTCTGTTCTTTTGCTTATATACTTACATCAGTTTACGAACTTCCATGGAAAGAATACATGTTAATACAATGATATCTCCTAATTATGTAATGTAGTTTCACAAAATTTTTGATTTACATTGGAAATGTTTATAGCTATTTAGAAATTAGTTCCATTACTATCTGTGGACAATCAGATATGAAGAATGCATTTCATGATATTTTCATAGGGCTCAGGGTTTATTATTTGGGAACCTGGGATTTCTTTGGGAACGTTAAATATCCTTTCATATAGGTTAGCAAAGCAAACACACACTTCACTTTCATATCATTGTTATAATTATGTTGGATATCATAACCTTAATTGCTAATAATACAGAGTCATATCAATATATATGCAGAAATGCTTACATTTCATCTGCCTTTAGTGAATGTTTTGGCTGCATGTATCAGCTAAGTATTTCTTAACTGTACCTAAATATATAAATGAAATTTACTTTCTCTTTGTAGGTGGCCTGCATGCAGTTCATAAATGCACTTGTCACTTCTCCATATGATCTTGATTTTCGAATTCATTTGAGGAATGAATTCCTCCGTTCTGGACTAAAAGCATTGCTCCCAGTAAGTTGAATGTATCTATTTATTGTACTACTGAACTTTTAACTTGTTTTCTCCTCCAAGTAAAGGTGCAGTTTTTCAAGGAAAGCACACATTTGTCCTTTGTTATTTCCTCAAATAAAATAGGCACTTTGTAAGATGTGTGTGTGTGTGTGTACATATATATGTAGTATTAATCTGACTATGTAATGGACGATTCATAAGTCAGTTAATGATGGGATGTATATAAATATAAATTATATATAATATATATATTTGCAAATTTGTTTTTCACTTAAATGTTTCCTGCTTTCTCCATTGATACTATTGATTGATTTTACTTATAGGCAGCATAAGTATGCATATTGAGGTTTGACTAGTATATTCGGATATTTTGGTTAAATATGTTATTCTTATTAGTATGCTTCAGATCTTTTCAAAAGAGAAACAAGCTTCAACTCCTCCAAGATCTTTCCGCATCTCTCCCGATCCAACTTCATGTTCTTTCTCTCTCTTTAAAACAACATCAAAACATCAAGAAATATGTTTTGTGTTGGCTGACTATTCCTGAGCATGGGATGTACCATGGACTGTGGTGGATATATCCAATATTGTTTCATTGGCAAACACTGATGTTTCTTCTACCAGCAGCTCTCATATGTGAACAGGATCCTTATTTGCTTCAATTGCTTGGTGCCAGAGGCACCTGTGAATGTTCTAACCGCATGATTTCTTTTGTGATTTCTGATGAGTATGTTTAGTCAAAATGACATCATCGAATTTGGGTTGTAGCAATTAATGGCGTTTTTTGTTCTTACAGAAGTGATTTTTAAGATTTTTAATATTAATTTTCAAGATTTAGAGCATGGAAAGAAAATGTAAAGAATGGTATGAGGTTCTTTCATTTTGAAATACAAATCTTAAGCTATGTTTATATTCTTTTATGAAAGCAAGGTCTTGGGTCAATATTTAAAATTGCATCTGTGTACAAATGAGTAATTTTATTCTGTCCTTGATTAGCAGATGTGTTATTTTCAAAATGTCATTCATTTGCTGAATTTTATTGTTTATATTAGTGTCTTAAAGCAAAAGACAATGATGAGCTTGATATTCAGTTGAGAGTGTTTGAAGAGAACAAAGAAGATGATCTAACTGAATTATCCCATCGACTCAATGACATTCGAGCTGAAATGGAATATCCTTTGACAAACAATAAATACCTGATTTTACACTTATGTTTAAAAGCAGGAGTTGAGGATAATTTTTTATATTTCATTAGAGTTATTTTTTCTATGAACAAATTTATAACTGCTTATTTATGTTAGTACTCCATCAGATGCTATCCTTGATATCCACTTTTGCTGAGGAATTGCTACTGTGATTTGATGATGTATGCAGACTATTGAAGTCTGCACAATGGTTCAGTGTATTAGATATACACTCTGGACTCAGTGGTCCTGAATAAGCAAGAGCCTAAGAACCCAAGGCACTATATCTTACCAATAAGAATGAGCAAAAGTTCTTTGAGTTCATATATGATACTAGCTAGGAGATACTTTGTATTTATTAAATGCTATTCCACTTATAGGCAAAATTTTCTGGAAATGAGTACCTTATTTTTATCAGATATTTATATTCCTTAATCATAGCAAAATTGTTAGATAAAATAGTAGCTTTCTATAACAAAGCAGTATTGTAAAAGTACCTACATCATATACAACAGCTTATAATCTTCCTGTGCCAGCTGTGTGATGTGAAATTGTTAGATATATATTATTGTCATAGTTCTTCAACTTGTCTCCATCACATTCAAATTCATACTTTTGGATTCTATGACATACGAAAACACTTAGGAATCAAAGTAACCTCTGAGCTGTGCTTTTCTACCGTTAATATTTTCTTATCTTTATTCTTCCAGTATTCTAAATAAACTCCAATATTTCCCTACTTGAAACTCCCTTAGTACTTTGATTTTAATGTACTCTTCCTCTCTCTTTACAATAAAGTATTGAGTAAACATAGTTACAATGAATAGAAATGTTATCATAGGAAATAATTAAATGTTAATAAAACTAATTCAAAATTAGTAAAAACAGTTTTTATCAATAAATATGCTTGATATTCATTGATGTAATCAATCATTTGATAATTCTGTAGCATTTTAAGGTCCTTATGATTAAGGTCCTTATGATACTTGATCTCAGTACTCTCATGTGGTATTTAAATTGGTGCATTGCATGTTTAATTATACTGCGCATTTCATGGTATTTCTAGATGTTTGATTGCATCTTGCCTTTTACCTTTATTTTATGTGGACTTTTAATATATTCAGTACATATAATGTGAGTCCATTCTTGAGGATTTTTCTAGATTACTACCATCATCTACACCACTAGATTTATATCCCAAGAAAAAAGTGTCATAATGTCCTTAGACTTTTCATAATGTCATGTATGAACACAAGCAATTTTAGATTTACTTTATTTGGATATTTAAAATAAAGCTAGTTTTGTGATATTTTGACAGCTGAATAGTTGCTTGATATCTCTTTTATCTGAGAATAAAAATAAAATAGCATTGGGTCTATCAGAACCACAGAAAGATCAAGACAAAAACCTCCTTCGTCAATGGCATTGTGGCCCTAACTATTATGTGAAGTTGATAATATAATGGATTACTGATTATTAAAGGTGTTGATATCCAAGAACTCTTGTAAATTTACTTTAGGCTTGCTTCTTTAATTACAGGATTGTTATTATTATTATTTTTCTGTAGATGTTTAAATGCTATATTATGAAATTGAAACATTATTACCTATAATGGAAACTAAGAAGTAAATGTTTTATTTTAAAAATTAGGCTGCTTTAGTCATAAATGCACAATTCATCAAGAATCTTTGATGTTTTCCTTTACTCTCTTTCTACCGATATGAATGAAGTCTACCATCTTCTCTATAACATGCTGAAAGACACTGCAGCTGAAAGTTATTTATTGTCCATTCTACAGCACTTTCTGCTTATCAGAAATGATTATTATGTCAGGTAAGGTTCATATGTGAGATTACTACATGCATAATTTGAATTGAATATTAAAAGGAAGTTAACAAGGTAGTTGGTTGAGGAAATATGTGTGTTATATATACATAAAATATAAGGGTCTTATACTTTAGGCAACATTTTTTAAAAGAATTCATTTATTTTAATTGGGCCAGAAAAGATAGTTGCATATAACTATGGTGCACACAAGGAACCAGAATATAAGTATAAATTAACCTGTCATATATTATTGAGTGTTTAATGAATTTTTCTGCTTGATATTGATAAACCTGTGAAAACATTGGAGCTGCTAGAATGTTTTAAATCTTCTTATTTTAACAAGTAATCTTGTATCATTTGTTTTTATAGTGTTTAGTAAATATGTGATCTTTAGCAGAAAAGAATTGTCTATATTTTACATTTTGTCCAATGAAACTATTTTTAAAATCAGGGAATATGATGATAACCTATAGATTTAAGCTTTAGAATAGATGATATCTATATCTAAAAACTGGTAGCTTCCATCCACTGAGTTATCTCCTTAGCCAATACCATCCTTTCATCTTATGGGTATTGTTGTGAAGTAGAGATGTGTGACAGGTACTTTCATTCCATATGTAGACTTATTAAAATCCCCTTCAAAGAGTAGAGTTGTATTTTTCTTAGTTCTCCAAAGAGTGGTTCACCACACTGAGGTTAAGGACCAGTACTATTCTTCCAGATCTGATGGTGATTTTTTAAAAACCCTAGCCATGCAACACATATTTCTTTTTATTCTTAGTCTTGGGAACAGCCACATGATTAAACGCACAAAATTGTAATTAGAATCACTTTCTCTTTCTTTTAGAGTTTTTAGTAGGTTGACAAGATATGGTTAGTGGTGTTAATATCATAATTTGTCTGAAGTAATACTTTTCTGTAATACTGTTGAATTTGTTAACCAATGAGAATTAGTCTCCCACAAATTTTAAAAGCAAAATGACCCTTGTCTTTCCTTTTCTAGCCAGCGGTCATTATTAAAGCTGTAATTGCCTTGGGAGATTACATAAATATGATATGTTTTAAAACTTTCGTTACATCATAAAATTGCTGTTATAGCTGTGCCTATTAAGTGTATATGGTCTTATAAAATAGATATTTTTTGAAACATGCTGTGTACATAGGTTTTTGCATTAGTCTGTAACAGAAATCCCTCAGTTCAGTTTTATAAACTGGTGTGACTGTTCTGAGTAAATGCTTTGCACTGAATTCAAGACATTGCTTGCCACCTAATGCCATGAAACTCATCTTTTTTTGAAAATGAGAGCTTGTGGCTGTCTAGAGCTATTTCTGTGCTCATAGATATAGGACTAGGGGGTTATTCATTTTCATTAACTTTAGAAACAATACCTTAAATAAATAGATGGGGTTGATAAGTATTTTTGAACACAAGCATGAGTCCCTGCAAACTAGAATATTAAGTCAGTACATATTTTCAGTCAATCACATCACACTCAATTTGGCCCCCTAATGTTCAGACCATCTTTAAGCCTTAATCATATTTTCTCTAAGGAAGTGTAAATGTTAGTGGAATTATTTTCTTAGTGGTGCTGGAGAAAAACTGAGTTCTTTTAACATTATCTATCCCTTCATAACAAAACTGATTGATGCAAGTATTCTCAAATATTTTCTCTCCTCTTTTTAGGCCACAGTATTATAAAATAATTGAGGAGTGCGTTTCCCAGATAGTGCTGCACTGCAGTGGTATGGACCCGGACTTCAAGTACAGGCAGAGGTTAGACATTGATCTCACTCACCTGATAGGTACGAATTATACTCTTTACTGCCGTTCACGGTTCATGCCTTCTGTATACTGAGCACTTTGAAAGGGTAGGTCTCTCACTGAACTTCTGTTAATATCTGGTAAATCTTGGTTGTTATGGCTGCTCAACTGATATAAGTATTCATTTTGGCGATCATAAGAATTCTCTTTATAGGTTCAGATATATTAACCTTTTTGGTAAATTTCACTACCACCTAGTCAGTTGACTGTCAGTTGTCATGTCCCTGAAAATCCATTATTTTTTAAATAGTGGCATGCCTGGCTATTTAAAAGCATGACTCTAGTATCCTATAGTTCAGTTCATCCTCACAGAAATATTGTGGGAATTATGTGTGTAGTAGAATCTCAGTATTATAGACATGTTACTACTGGCTCTCATATTTGAGAAAAGAAATGTCATGATAAAGAAATTACCTTAAATAATAATGCCAGGTAGAATAATTTTTGTCACAGTCTAATCAGTGATGACAAGTTTCCCTTTTGAAACATGCTATGCTCTATGGCTTTGTGGTAGGGATTTGTATTTATAGATAATCAAAACTATCATTCCCTAGGATGAAGCATGAAGTTGCTTGTTTTTAATGAATAAAGGTTGTTGAATACAATCTATAAAATATTTTTCACTCCATTACAGAGGACAGAATCACAAACTAGGCAGAGTGTGAACATTATTCTTCATATATCATTTTCTGTTTCTTTACTGTAGGAAACTTAAAGATTTCAGTAAATGACAAATATCAACTAATCAAGGTCACTCCCTTTTAAGCGAATGCATTTTAAATAGCCTTTTCTTTATGCACATGTCTGTCTTTCAGTGTAACTACTTCCTAGCTGAATTTTCATAGAGCATTATGAAGATTTGACCATGTTTGCATTCAAATTGGAACTGTTTACTACATGTAATATTATTATCTATTATGACTATTTCAAATATGATTCTGTTATTGCTTTGTTATTATAACATATAGATTGCTTTCTCATCCTTAAGATCATAAAAGAATCTGCTAATTGATCTTGGTCACCAAAAATCTTTTTTAATAGTCATCTTAATTGAACATTCTTGCATGTAAATGCTGGACATTTTCTTACTGCTTTTTTACACTTAATTGATATCAGTGAAGACAGGAATTTCAAAGGCCAAATATTTTTAGAAGGCTTGAACCTTTAGTTATGTGAGCTACATCTCCTTCCAGTTGTTTTTGAAAAGTTGATATCTATTGTGGAACTTTCAATAGAATATACATATGAAAATACAAATATACACAAAACTATCAAGGCCTTCAGCATCATCCAGAAAATGCAGGCATCACTATTTCAATATCACTTGAACCTAAGTATTGTAGTCTGTGCCTATTTCACATTTCTGTACAGCTATTGTTTTTCTTAAATCATAGCAGGTCCTTTTCTAAAACTGTTAAATAACTTGCCATTGGAATTTAGATAGAAATAAAAGTAAACATCACTGTCATCTATGACTTGCATTGACCATATAAGGTCCCTTTGAACAATACAACTTTCCTGACTGTATGTAACATTCTAACATTTAAACAATAGGAAACACATTAAGTACTTGTACCCAGAGACAGGGCTTAGGAGTTAAGAATACTTCCTGGTCATTCATTGCCTGCTACCCATTGCCTACATGACAATTCAGAACCATCTGAACTCTGCTTGATCCTATGTCCTCTTCTGGCCTTGGTGGGCACTGCAAGCATGTGGTGAGCAGACATATATTTAGGCAAAAGATTCATACATATAAAATAAGATAAAATAATTTTTAAAAATCTATAAAAATCTTTCTTATGTATTTGAGTGGAGAAAATTTCATATATATAAGCTAATCAATATATAGCTAATAAATATGTTTTACATAAAGTATTTACACTTTACAATATAAATTAATAAATATATACATATATTAATACACTGTATACTTAAAACCATCATTGTATTTAGGATCATAAACTGTATTGCTCCTTTAAATTTGCTGTCTTCTGCCCTTGTTCTTCTGTACTCTACTAATACACTGCTCTGTGTCACTGAAAGTATCAATGAAAATAGACACACCTACTAATGTCTCTTGTACTGACTCTATTTTAGCTTAATTTGCTCTCACAAGTTTTCTTTACCAACATCGTGTGTAACTAGTGTCATGTAGCACATATTGTCTGTGTATGTCTTCTTCATCCAGCATAATATTTTTGAGTTCATTCATGTTGTAGTTCATGTATCGATTGTTTATTCCTTTATACTATGAAGTAGTATTCATGCATGAATATAACACAATGTGTATTTCGTGGTGGTCAGTTGTGTTCTTCCCAGTGTTAACCTATTGTGATAAAGCTGTTATGGCTTGTTTATATAAGTATGCAATTCAGACATATGTTTTATTTTCTTTTGAAGAAATATTGGGGTAATGCACATAGATACAGCCTGAGACTCAAGAGGTTTTTCTTTGTGTTTATTAACTAGGCCTTAATAATTTTAAGTTTACTTCCATTTGTACAGTATATAGAAGTCAAGTAAAAGATTTTGCCTGAAAACCTGAACTGATGAATGTCACTGCTTCTTTCTCCTTCTTTTTAGAGGATCATTTTGAGTTTTCATTATGTTGAACATGGAGTCTTTGCCTCCACTGTCTGTATAATAATGTGCGATTTTCCAATGAATTATATAGTGGTCCAAGTTTAATTATAATTAAAACCTTTCATTTCAGGGGTAATTTCATCTAAGATATTTATGAAAGACTGAGGTTTTTGCTTTAGTACTAAAGAAAGAATGTATGGTATTATATGTGTAGTATAGTACAGATTAATTTACGTTTAATGATAATTCATGTGAGAATTTAAGAATTATATATTGTCAGTCATAATTAGCTAGAGATTCAGTCTCATATATTTCTAATCACGTTTCCTTTATCTGAATAGATGCTTGTGTAAATAAGGCAAAAGTTGAAGAAAGTGAGCAAAAAGCAATGGAATTTTCAAAGAAGGTAAGACTGACAAAATAATAGTCCTGAGTTTTACATTAATAGTTTCACCAGAATATATAAATACTTAACCTAATTTCTTCATATGACACTTTATAACATATCCTTTCAATTTTGTAGGACATTATACTACTAGAATCAAACATTGTGCAATATTGATTTATTTCCTAGTAAGATAAGATTGTTACTATTTCTTTGTCTCCCATAAACCTAATTCATTAGGAAAGAAAAAAGTAGCCTCATTCTTAATGAAAAATGAAATAAAATTATCTAGCTGAAATGATACTTAGTTATGATCAAACCACCAAAGCTATTTCCTCCATTGCTTTTCTTTAGCATTTACTTACGCTACACATCTCCATAGAGACCTGGGAGACCTTTAGTTTCCCTTTAAAGCTATGATTTTTGAACATGTGATGAAATTTAGTGGTTACAATGTTTTTCTAGTATGAATAAGGCCCTGTCTTTGCTCCTGAAAACAAAAAGCTTCTTGGTCTTGATAGCAGTCTAAAGATGGAATCCATTCTCTCTTCCTGTCCCCTCATTTCTTTTTCTTTAGACTAGTTGCAGTTTTCTAATTGCCATTCATTAAATGATGCTATTACTCTGTGTAGGCTTGTTGGAACTTGAAATTCTTTTTTCTGTGTTTATAAGTGGATTGAATAGGTACAATCTTTATATTACAATTTCACTTAGACATAAGCTGTTCCTTTTCATGTTTCATACAAGCCTATATACAATTTTATTACTGTTTAAGCAAGTTTTCAAGTGTTCCTCCTTCTCCTGCCTCTTTACCCTCTTTCTTTCTTCCTAGCTCCCTGTGTTAATAGTTAGTAGAGTATCTCTCTCTTATTGGTTGCAGAGAGTATTGTAACAAAAGGCAGAAAAAGATCCTCAGTGTTCAGTCATCTGACAGCAAGACAAAGCACTTACATATTACTTACTCTTTAACTTCATGACATATTTTCTATCACTCTGGAAATTATAGAGTTACTGCAGGGCATTTGAAGAAATCTTTTTGGTCTGTCATGTAGTAGAATAGATTTTACAAAGATTGAGTTGTACACAATGAGATTGTGTGAAACTGTCATTTTATTGATGAAAATGGCATGTTTTTTTGTAGTAGGTCTTTATATTTATTGTGTCTTCCTTTTAAATATCATGTCTCAAATTTCCATTGAATGTTATAGGCTCTCTTTAAATTTGACTAGACATTTTAAAACTGGAGTGCGTTATGATGACCTATCTTTGTTGTTTCCTGTAATAACATGAATTGTTCCAAAATCATAGAAAAATACAGTGATAATCCCCAACTAAAAACCCATACAAATCACTTGCCTGGCTCATAGAAACTAACTGAGTATGAACCAATATTCAGGGAGCCTTTATGGGACCAACATAAATCCTTTGCATGTATTTGACAGTTGTGTTGCTTGTTCTTTTGGTGGGACTCCTGGCAATTGGAGCAGGGACTGTCCCTGGTGCTTGGCCGGCTGTTCAGAACCTATTCCTCATGATGGGTTTCGATGTCCAGCCTGAATCCAGGAGGTGCTTTGTCTTATGGAAACATGTTATGGCATGCTTTGCTGAAGCCCATAGGAGGCCTTCTCTCCTTTCTGAGTGATTATAGAGGAAGGGTGCATTTGGGAGACCAGAGGGGATGAGGGGAGAAGGAGTGGTAGGAGTGGATGGAGGGGGAAGCTGTAGTTTGGATGTAAAATAAAAACAAATTAATAAAAAATCACTGACAATGTTAATTGTCAATATTTGGAATAATTACATGGCTTTAACCTAGTTGTTACCTACATGCACATCCTTTTGATTTATCCTTAAAGGCAGTATAAATGAATTCTTATGTTTTTTACTAGGTCTTTAATAGTTTTCCTATTTGTACCTTTTAATAATATTCACCCATACTTCTAGCTTTTCCAAATGTTAGTGATTATAAGATTCAATCTCAGCTTTTCCACTGATTCATTATTACTCTAAACAAACCACTTCTTCTCCTTGGATTATTTTCTCTTCGTCATTGAAAGTAGGGCATAAGATTAGAACCTCAGGAAAAGACCTCTCTGCTTCCCATATTTAAGTGTGTATCATTCATTTTCTCTGTGTTTACAGGAAGCATAGTATGAAATAGAAACATAAAAAATGTGTTCTTGTGGAGAAATCTGTACATGATTGAAAATCTCTATAGGAGAAAGTAACTTTTAAAGAAGAGTTCAGGGAAATTATATTGATTGAACAAGTTAATATTGAAGGAATTGTGTTTTGTTTTGATTTGGAGACCAAGTCTCATTATGCCCTCCATCCTGGAATAGAATTCACTAGTCCAAACTGGTCTTTAACTTACATCGATCCTCCTGTCTCTGCATCTTGAGTGTTGGTATTTTAGATGTGTTTTACTATGCCTGCCCAAGTGGGGCCCTGAACTGTGGATCAGTGTCTATCCCTGGAATACAAACAGACATCGTGTGCCTATAGCACAAAGAGGGATGCTCTCTCAGCCTGGACTCTTAGGGGAGTGCCTGGACCCTACCCAGAGTGAAATGACAGACTCTAGATATCCCCTATGTGGAAGGATTTGGCAATAGGGTGGGAGGGTGGGGGGGAAGGGGAGTGTGGGAGGAGGGGAGGAGAGGGAACTGGGATTGACATGTAAAACAAGCTATTTAAAATTAAAATAAAAAAAGAAAAAAAATTAAAAAAAAGATCCCCATCTTCTAAGGGAAGTAGAAAAAACAAGATCATTGAAGGAGCTGTAAAGCTGTAGATCCTTTACCTCATGTATTTGTTATAGTTTTGGGATTTAGTAATATTGTAATACGTTTTTAATGACCTCTAGAATGTGTTTTTCCAAGTATTTAGTCAGAGATATATAAAAGCATGACAAAGTAGAGTTTCAGGTTTCCTGTTAAACTGCTGGACACTTTTTTTAAACAACCAGCATAGCATACTATAATATCCAAAGGTCATGTTTAGTAGGGTGATGAGTATTTACCAACAGGGTATGTCCTGCTCTATATATCATGGTCTTTAACAACAGTTTTGAATGGTAAGATATATCAATTTTAGAAACAGAAATAATATTGTTGGGAATATCTACAGACATCACAAATGATTTGAGTTGGCATTGATAATAAAAAGTAAAGAATATTCTGTAGTGAGATCTATACAGCATTTCCTGTAAATATGTTGCCCAACTTGCATCTGTTTAGGGTAATGACTGAGGTAAGATCTAGGGCACGATGTGGAGAGGTCAGGAGATTCAGTGTTCTCCTGCCATCTTATGGGATTCAAGGATCAAACTCAGGTTGTTATGCCTTTGCACAAGCACCTCTGCCCTCTGAACCATACTTTCTTCCCTCGTTTTCCTGTCTTGAGTTGTTTAAAGAGGGCTTTTGTTACCCATCTGATAGAGAATAGGATTTCACTGTATGTCACTTTACTGTCAGATTTTATGTAGCACCTCTTTTTTGATGCTAAGCAATGAAGAGTATGACAATAATAATCCCCCAGTCCATTTTGTGTTAATGTACATATTTCCAATCATGTTGAAAATGAAAATTTTTAAGATTAAATATGCTTACGAAGTTGAGAATGCATTACTTATTTTATATTTTATTTTAATTAAGTTTAAAAACTGGCAAATTAGTAAAAACCATTATTAATTCTACAATTGAATTTCTATAACAATAAACTTTCTGTTACATGTGAACATAGACTTTTTTCCATTTTTTTCTAAAAAGTGAATTTTCCGTGTGTGTATGCTTAGATTTTCAGAGAATTATTAAGAACTTTATCTCTCTGAGTGAGCTGTGAATGCAGAAAATTAAAAACCATGCTTCATATTTACCATATAATGTTGTTTAAATCTTTCACCAATATGTATCAATAACTGTACCTGTATGATCATGGTCATTGCAGTTTGATGAAGAATTCACAGCTCGACAGGAAGCTCAAGCAGAGCTTCAGAAAAGAGATGAAAAAATCAAAGAACTGGAAACAGAAATCCAGCAACTTAGAGCCCAGGTAATAAGACAAGATGTAGACTTTGGTCACAGTGAATTTGTGGGTAGAAAATTATCTTGTTAGACTGTGGGGAAAATGTGATCACAGACTTTTTGGCTGCTGTTGACAGTTTCACATCTTAGTTGAAATAAGTACAGATTTGATTTTTCCAACAGTAAATCATTTTAAGGTTTGGAAATAAATAAAGACTTCATTTGCTCAAACTGCACTGAATATTTTTAACAAAATACATTACTCAAGCCAAACTGTTTATGACATGAAATTTTCATGATGATTTAAAAAAATTCTATGCATAGTATTTTCTTTCAAAAAGAATATAGAAATGCTCATGAATTTTAATTATCCAAAAGACTTCTTGAGATCTTTAAATCTAGACTATCTTTAATTCAAAACCTATACACTTTATTTCTACCTACATTCCTTGCACAAAAACTCTTAGTAAGATGTCTAAAATTTAAAATTAAGTATACTCTTAACACATTTTGTGGCTTAAATGAATAATATGAAATTGAAGAGACTGCCTTTAAATAGATAATGCCCAGTAGGTACACAATTGACTGTCTATCCCCCAAAAATATACTGAGAAATTTCTTCCTAAGTCACTGGTAAGCTGCAAAGTATTTATGGTGGTAGTCTGTTGCTATCCATAGCCAGTATCATTTATATCTAGTATTTACGTCTTTGTTTCTTCTATCAGTATTACTATACTTCGCCTTCTACATGTCTGAGAACTTTATCTCTCCTTTTCTCATTTTCCAATTGGGAGGTATCTGTTTTCTCTCTGCGCTTGGCATTTTTTCTGTGCTTTGTAGTTCCTTGCACACATGTCCCACTCAGTTTCATATTTTCATATATCATCTTTTAGTATGTGTCAACACATTTGAGTCTATCCTGCATTTCCAACTGTCCCCATATGCAGGACTTTTGTATTGAAATAAAATTCAGTATTTTTGATATTTTCCCTTTCCTTAAACCATCTCAGTCTCCATTTTGATGTGTTTTAGAATTTGCCACTCTTTTTTTTAGCTGAAGTTTGATTTGTTTCTTGTCCTGTTCCTGACAAATGAAGCTAGTTATTTAATTTAAATTATTTCAGTGACTTTTTTCAACTTTACATCAGAACCCTAGTCCCTTCATGTCCACTTTCATTACATCTTGCTTGAACTAGTATAGCTGTATCCTAATCTTTCTTATTGCCTATAGTCTTCTCCTCCTCAAACTCATCCTTTTATGTCAATTAATCCTCACAAAATACTTCCCCAATTGTTAAAACTGAAGGATTTTTTTACAGTGGTTGCCTGTTGTATCTGGGATTAAACAAAATCTCTACCAGAAATATTAAAAGCCTTCTGGCATGGTCTGCCTTATACTTAACTCCCTGTGCAACCTAGAATCTGACTGATCTCCTAGCTACAACAACCTGTATTGTTGCTAAATTTCCCTTCCTTTCATGAGATCTGTAACATATTGGCTCCATCCTTTTCATTCTGCCAACATTCACACACATTACTTACAGATATTTTAATCATTTTTCACAAAGAAAATATTCCATAGTCCACTAAATAGGATAAACATGAAAATTCTCAGAGATTTGAAAGACTTGTAAGCATGTTAAATACGGTGAGATATCCTAAATTGAATAAACTTCTCTTAACTCATGACCTTCCCTGACTCATTTGACCACAGTTTCTTGTTTAGTTTAGTTCTTAGACATGGTATTGTTTTGTAGCCCTGGAGAACATGGTGCTCTGTGCGATTCAGGCTGGCTTTGAACTCACAGAAGGCCCTCTGTGTCTGCCTTCTAAGTGCTGGAATTAAAGATGCATACCACCATGCTTGGCTGACTACAGTACCTTTTATTTTTGTTTTGTGTTTGTTAGAAAAGCCATCTCTTGCTTATACTTATCTACTCATAGATTCTGGTGAATCCCCCTTCTTTCTTTTTTGGTCTATACTTTTTTTTCTTTTGAGACACACTCTAACTACATGGCCCAGGCTAGTCTGAAATTTTCTATAGTAAAGATTGTTCCAGCATGACCTAGTAAGTGGTATCAACTGCAGAACTCCATTGTATCTCCATTTTATTAGTTAACTTTTAATTTAACTTCAGTACTACATTATAATTTATCTACAGTTCTATAATATATCTGTTTTTATTATTTAACTTCTAATTTACCTTCAAGCTTGTAGAGCATGTATTTACATAAGTTAACCTTCTTAAATTATTCATCTGTCAGTGGAGAACAAGCTTGAAGTTACTTTCTGACATTAGAAAGTAGTTACTTTCCCCTCATGAACTCTGTGTAGGAATGAATTTCTGTGGCATATAAAGCTGTTTCGTGAAGAAAGCAGAGTAGAAAGAGAAGAGCCAAGTTCAAATGTAGATCCTCATGTTTTCATCTGTGCCACATTGATTAGTCCTTACAAACTTCGTTTTATAATGTTGAGGATCAAACTTAGGGTTTCCTGTATGTAAGCCAAGCACACCAGTAAATGACTTATACACTCAGACTTCAGTTACTGATTGTGCATTTAGTTTCCTCATCTATAAGCATTGAGATAAAGTTTAAATGTCTTATCTATGTTACAGGATTATAACAAACACAAATAGAAGCAATAAATGTAAAATGTTGATATGCTTATGTTACTATGCAAATGGGTTCTCCTTAATATTAGTCACTAGTATGTGAAGACAGCTAAATTATTGGTACTGTGAAATACTCTCGATAAGATTAATTGACACCCAAGGGATTTGAATTCATGTCCTTGTCATATTTTAATCAAATTTTAATAAACTAGGGTAGCAGTTCTAAGCCATATTTCCTACTTCTTTGGGTATATTTATAATGAAAGGTGCTGTTTCATTATATTAGAACTTTTCATAAAAATCTTACAAACTGAAAATTTTCCTTTTTATTAAAATATTATCAGAAATAGTCAGTGTATACCAAAAGTCATTATTTATAGATACTGATAAAGTATATAATCTTGAATGTTTAGAAAGGTAAATACAGTCTTAAAACCTGAATTCCTAGCAAAAGTGTATGCTTTGTGTTATATGTTCTTAGAAACACTTAAACTTATTTCGGTTTCAGGGAGCTTCATCTGCAACTCCAGGTCCACCTCCCCCACCTCTATTGCCAGGAGCTGCATCATGCCCACCACCTCCTCCTCCTCCACCACCACCACCACTTCCAGGAGTAGTTCCTCCTCCTCCGCCACCCTTACCTGGGATGCCTGGTGTTCCACCACCACCACCTCCATTTGGAGGCCCTTGCCTATCATCACGCCCTGGAGGAATTCACTTTTCCCAATTAGCACCAATAGAGCTACCGTATGGAATGAAGCAGAAAAAACTATATAAGCCAGAAGTAGCCATGAAAAGAATCAACTGGTCCAAGGTAAGTCTCTAACTCGAGGGACCTTTTTGGTTCTTCTGTGACTGACAGAGTATGAGAAATGCATTGCTGTGATTTTAAGACTGTGATTACTGGTATTATTGCTTTCCTCTCTGCAATTAGCACCCTATGTTCATCTTTAAATGTGTGGACTAGATGTCTGGTAGCTTATTAAAAATTTCAAAATTATTGTAAAGACAAAGGAAAATAAAATTGAAAATATATGAATTGTATGATTAAAATAGTTTCATAATTGTAAATATTAAGTATTGTCACATTCATTTTTTTTTTGGTTTTACGAGACAGGGTTTCTCTGTTTGTTTTGGAGGCTGTCGGACCAGCCCAACCTCTAACTCACAGAGATCCGCCTGCCTTTGCCTCCCGAGTGCTGGGATTAAAGGTGTGTGCTACCACCGCCCGGCTTGTCACATTCTTAATATCATTTCTTACTAAGATACTATTGTCTTTGGTATTTTTAGCCTTAGAGAATCATAAGTGTTTTCATATTAAACGTTAAAAAAGTGTAATTAAATTGCATGGCGTTAGGTCCACACAAAAGGGAGGACAAGAGGTTTAAGGAAGGACAAGTAATGTGCATATTGTACATGTATTAAAATTTTACAGTAAAATTGAATACTCAAGACATGAAATATTTTTAAAAATATAGGAATATGGATAATGTATGCAAGTAGAAGAGGAATATACTATATTATTTTGAGGGTCTTTTCAGTAGATGCTTTCAAATATGTTTTAGTTTATGACCCATTGCTTTTGTGTAGCGTTTCTGTATAGTGACAGAGTTGTAAGTGTTCCTCTGAATATTTATGAGTGTAATTTTATACATTTGAAATAGATTTAGCAGATAGATGAAAAAAGGAAAGTCCATCTTTGAAAATTTAAACAGTAAGTAACAACGCAAAAACTTATCATTTTTTTGTTTGTTTTAGATTGAGCCTAAAGATTTATCGGAAAACTGTTTCTGGCTAAAAGTAAAAGAAGAAAAGTTTGAGAATCCAGATCTCTTTGCAAAATTGGCCTTGACATTTGCTTCCCAGACAAAAGGTACTTTTTATTTTTACACATTATTAATTCCTGTGCCTCATGTACTGGAATTCATATCTCTGCTAAAATATTCTACATATAAGTGGATGTATTATGCCTCACAATAAGTAGGATCAGACATAAATTCCAGTAGTAGCTCTGTTTTACTGTTTAGTTAAAAGAAAACTTTCTCATTAGAAATTTGTTTTGTACATACATTATTATTTAAAGTATAGACTTTATTATTTAATACCTGTGATGCTCCTCATAGAATTGCTGTTTTACTGAGTAATAGGATATTAATTCTTTGATTTACCATGCATCACGAAAATTGCATCATGGAACACCAATGCCTCTGAACTTTATGGTTGATATTGGAGGAAGACTGATGCCATAGGGCTTACACTTTCTCATTTCTTAAATATGTATCATTTATCAACCTCATTTCCCAGGAAATATCATAGATTTTGTTATGAGCACATGTTCTGAGTTATCAAAATCTGATCCTCACAATGTAAAATTGTGGATTTGAAAAAAGCATATCTTCTTTATGATTATACCCTTAACTTTTTAAAAGTTTCTTACTTGTCATTCAGGTGATATGTAGGTCTCACATAGGTTCTTTTTAAATCTCCAGAATGATGGGATTTCAGGCATTAGATGCCATAGTTGGCTACTTTCTCTGTTTTACGTGATGTTTAATAGATTTTTTTATGTTCACAGGCTGTATTTAACTATTTTTTCTGTGATTTTTCTCATTCTGATTTTCTCACTCAGTTGAACATTTGCTATTTTACTTGGTGATATGTTTGTGTTAAATCCTACAACAAAAATTTTTATAAAATTGCAGAGTTAGTCTAGTCCATACATCTGATTAAATAAGCCTGGATTCTGTATTTTACAAATGAAGAAAGTAAGAATAGAGACAGAAGGATAGATCATGAAGGAGATTGGGTTTGTGTTCACATATATACACATATATATATATGTGTGTGATATATATATGTTCATATATATCAAATATATGTATGTCGAAATGTCATTACAGAAGGGAGTTATTAATGGTAGTTGAAAGTGCAATCGTCACATCTACTTTCCTCAATTGTAGTTCATATCATTTCCACTGACTGAATTAGCTCATCTATAATGTGAATAGACTAATGTTTAACTAGTTCAAAAAATGAGATCAGGATATATATATTTAAGTAGCTGACATACTCACTGTTTTGTATCCTAAAGACAATAAATATTGTGTGCTTTTCCCTTTGCTTCTCTGATGTTGTTGTGTTTTAGTTACTGACTATTACTTTACATGTTTTTTTTGGAAAAAGAAGGCCTCTTCTTCCTTGTGGTACTCACTAGATCTAATAAGTTACAAAAAGGAAATTCCTAATGCTCCTACCAAAACCTAATCAACCAAGAGCGAAACTAAACCAAATTATTCCAATCACATTCTCACTGCTCAGAATGTTGCCTCTCCATTCCCCTCAAGTTTAATTCTTCAATTTTCTTTGTGGCATTACTCCTATTTTGCTAACTTTGAATATTTATGTACATAAAAGTAAAGTTGAACCCTTTGGTGTCATTGATTTATTTCTGAAGAGACATTTCAGGATCAGTTAAAAATCAAAGAACATTCAGTGTGTGCATGCAATAGACCAGACAAATCTTACTGACACAACACGTGCTTTAATTAACACTCTTAAGAACTGTCTTCCCATACCAGTTGAAGTTCTTTGCCACTCACAGTGCCTTGATTCATAATTTGGTCAATAGATGGCAGGCTTAGTAAGAAATCAGCAGGCATTTCTGGCTCCAGCAAACTTAAGCTGTCCTGCCCTGGCTCACATAGCTTTAGGGCACCACTTTCTTCTCCATTCTGCTGCTCATTGCAAGCTCAATCAGCACCATTCTGGAATGAGGCACCAATCTCTTGTTTCTAAGACCTATTTCCAAGGCTGTTAGACTCAGTGTTCCAAAACCTTTTGAGAACTACCCCCTACTGCAAGACTGTTGGAGGCTCATGTCTCCATTCTCACTAAATGCACTATAAAGCATTACTAGTCTATGTTGTCAAGTGAATGTTTAAAAATTTAAAGGGGCTTAGAATTGCTAAATAGGAAGGAGCCTTTAAATGTCCCAATTTTAATACTTCTAATATTTAGATTTGTAAATATTTAATGTGTGAAAAGTTCCATGAAATTATACTTTCTGTATGAATTACTTATTCTTAAAGTTTTAGGGAAAATTTATTTTTAACATTACACTACAAAGCACTTTACTTCTATTTTAGGGGTGGATGTATCTCTCATTTCATTTAACTGATTTGTTAAATACCTAGTATGTGCATTGGGAACAACCGATTCATTTCTTCTCCCTGCACCAGAGAACTCATGATCTATTGACTGAAGATGGAAGAGTACCATATTTAGTCTAACTATGGTAAATGTTAGAATAGACATTTTTCAAAAGCTGGGGGAACATAGGATATAGCTAATTTAGAATCGGAAAAATGAAGAACCCAGAGTAGGTAGTATGAGTATTTCAGTAGTTTCAATAAGGTAGATGGTAGCATGTGTTTCTGGATAAGGAGCAGCATTAGGAAAGTAAGAAAAATTTAGATGACCTAAGCTTAACTGAATTTATTTGAGCAAAGAGCTACCCATGAATTGTGTATCACCCAGGGTCAGAAGGGATTGATATGAGCAGCAAGCTTTTTTATGGTAAGCATGGAAACAAAAACAGAAATCAGGGGGCTTACTGTAGTTAGGCATTTGCTTTGTTTGATCATTTTGTGATTAAAACTATGTGACTGGTGGAAATTCAGCTGGTTGTTACAAAAACGATATATACTAAATTAGGTTGAACTGGAGGCTTGGAACTGGCTGCAAGCCTATGGTCTCCTATTAACTTAACAGTGGGGAGAAGAGTAGTGCATACTGTGATGAAAGCACATGCAGCAGATGCTGGCTTTGGAGTGAGGAGACTTGGTGAGAACTTCACACTGAAGTACATGGCTTTGCTCTTTTCCTATTAATGTGAACAGAGCCACTGGCGGCAAAGCTTGACTCTAGATCTGAACATTTGCCCAACTAAGAGAACCTGAAGAAGTATAGAAATGAAAAAATGGTTTATAAAGGATTTTTCTCCGAAATTATAGAAATTCTTAATCCTACCCCCCATTGTGCATTGTTAATAACTGATAGAAAGGATCAAATGAAAACCCTGAAATGTGTATAGCATCTCTTTTCTTAGAGGAATAGTCTTCTGGTGTCAGAAACTTTTTCATTCCTTGCATGATATTTTCAGTGGAAATCTTAATTCCTAATCCCTCTTCTCCAAATTAGATGCCAAACTATGATACTATGATGACTAACCCTAGGGTTTTTTAGTGCATGTGTAAATTGTAATGATTTACAGTTTGTATGATGGATCTTATAATTGTGAATATTGCTAGCCTAGCCAAGATACAATGATACTCTCAATTAGTGTGAACCCTTTTCTCATCTGTAAGCTATCTTCTAGTTTTCAAATCCTGTGTTTTCCTTATTATGATATTTATGTTCTCATAGGCCATCATAATACCATGATATAAAATGAAGTTCAACATGTGGTCTATATTAATGGAATATAAGTATTTACATGTCTACATGTGTTTTCATGAACAAACAAAAGATCCTGTAGTCTTTCTGAATATATATTATATATGTAACAATTGGAAATTTTATGTTTTCTAGTTATGTTTTAGTCAATTAGATGATATTTGGAGACATAACCATGCAGGTTATAATGATAGCATGCTTTTGACTTTAAAAGTACAGTAATTATACATAATAATATGTAAGAATTAAAGTAATGATAGTTAATATTAACTACAATAGAAACAATAATAAAATGTGTAGCTTATAACTGCTAATTCTAATTAGAATTTCTAGGGTTCACTAGAGGCTTTAGGAAGAGCAAAGATAGTGTGTGTTTGTACCTTGTAAGCAATTTCTCTGGTTATAATGTTGCTTGGAGGTAATATAAGAAATAAACATAAGAGGTTAATAAAATTTAACTTCTTCAATAATATATTTCTGCAGTTTAATAATAACTGAAAAATGAGGTGTTATAAATATTTCAAGTGCAGATAGATTTCACTTTGTGATACTTAAAATATCAGGCATAGCTTTCAGATTTTGGTAGAACACAGTTTGATGATAAATATAAAATCAGTTTCTAAAAGATATTTTAAATTGTGTTTCTCAGTTTTAACATCAGCTGTCTGACTCTGAAAATATCCAATGTTGCTTGATTGCATAGCACAGCTTTCTATATTAGGTAAATAAAAAGAGAAGACAAAAGAATGGTAAAATCTAATTTATATATGTTTTCATAATACAGAAAATTTTGCACTTGTCTTGTCAAAAATGATATGTCAGTTTTAGTTCATACATGCTTTATACAATGGTGTTAATATTCCCAGAGAGAAATAGTGTCCTAATAATGGATTTGTCATCTTAAGGGCACATGTTTCTCCCAGTTCCAGAGATGGGAAATTCCACATTAAGTACTGGAAGTTGTAGAGGATGCCTTCACACGTGTCCTTATAAGGTGCAAGGACTGAGGTTTCTTTCTGGGGTCTCTGTTCTGACAGAATCCCCTATTGGAGGCTGTGTTTCGTATACCATCTCCTTGTGCCTTAGGTTTAACCTGTGAATTTTAGGAGAACGTTAGCAACATTCAGTCTTTTTAAAATAACTATGCTTAATTTCATTATCTTATTATCTATTCATTCTTTAGTTTGCTGTAAATTGATTATCTTTGTCACCTTACACAATCCCCCATTATTAACATATTAATAGTTTTAATTTAGAATGGCACATGCACACTCATTTTTTATACTGGCATTTTTGAACATCAGATTAACATTCCTTTGTGTAAAAGAGGTAATTAGGAATTTTGGAGAATCAGGTACATATCAATATAAGTGAGCAACTTTAGAGAGATGTTTAGATAGACTACCCTTAGCCTTAAAG